TAAGCAAAATTTCAAATCAATTCATCCTTTTATCTACATTACCACACAGAGGAAAACTAGATAGGATATTCATATAACTGGCTTCAGCAAGACCAGAAACCTCATAATGCTGCATTGTCCTCGTAAATGCACGAACAATTACTTGAAATACATGTTCCTACTCAGCCTTTTTTGTTCACAATTTCTCAGTATTCCAAACATCTATTTAAAGGTCATCCACTGCATTTCACCGCAGCTTGGATCAGGTTCAGCTAAGATATACTTGGCTTAAACTACATTCATCTTTACACCAAATATGAACGTCCTGTTTTTCCACTTGTATTAAATTACAGGATCACTTGTGAGATATCAGTTTCCCTGAATAACTGGCATTATGCACAGTAAAGCTTTGCTTTCCCTGTTCCTGTGTGCCAACAGTTCTGACCAACATTCGCTGTAGAGCCACAGGACATGTAACAAAGAGCATTGTATTAATTTAAGAGTTTATGAATCAGTCAAAACTAAAGCTTACAGAAATAAGAATGAATAAGAATGGAAAAGAATGAAATTTTCCTTTAATTAGTCAACAGTGTCAAACAGCATCCTGTGAGTACAGATCACAGCCAGTGTCCCGAATGGTGACCTAACAAATATACTTAATAATTTATGAAATAACCTGAATCAACCTTAAGAGACGGGGAGGAGTTGGAGAAAAATCAAACCCCAAAGAGTTATATGTAGCATGACACACTATTAGTCAGACATCATGGAAATATATGGGCAAAAAGCAAGTTTTCATTGAAATAAGTCTTTGTTTGTGCAACTTAGAAACAGAGAAGGATCCAGGGAGAGAACAGAGGAGGTGTTGTAACTTACCCTTGCCAGTACGATGGTCCAAAAGGGTACGACAGTCTAGTGCCAGCCTCTGAGAAGTAGGGACATCAGGCGCCGGCATGGCAGTCAACCAAACACACAATGGCCCACAAGCACACACGCAGTCATACACACACACTACTTCTTTCATAAACCGTAAACCTCCTAAACAAAGTAAAAACATGCATAATAAATATTGCTAAGTATTGCTAAGTTTTAATCCTTAAAAATCTTCATCTACCAATGCTCACAAAATTCAACTATCTTCACTTTCACAATTCCTTCACTGATAAGCTAAACGCAACATGTACTCACTCACATGCATCCACAACTGCTCATTTTGACTGCAATAAAATAGTACGCACATGCGCACGTATGCATCCACTTGTCCTCGTTCAAACCTGAACAGAAAAGCCAGCCCCAACTGCTGTGTGAAGTTT